TCCTTAAAATTTTTCCCATACAAGTCTCAAGTAAGACTTGCCTCCCATAGCATTGTGATCAATTGATCAATCGATCAGTCAGCCAGTCTTTCTGTCTGTACATCTATCTGTCTATATAACTATCTTTCTATATTTAGCCGCATACCATGTTATCTTTCCTGACCTGTGTTCATAATTTACATTTTCCTTATTCTACACATCTCTGCACTTTTTCCATTAAAAACAAAAAAAAAAAATCATGTGCATTGAGACGTAAAATCTTGCAAATACTGAAAAAGCATGTTTACATGAATGATACATTAGGTCCTTTAAAAAAAAAAAAAAACTGTTTTCAGCACATCACAAGACAGGTAATCCAGCAAAGCAAAATACATCTACTCATCTAATTCAGGAAAAAGTACAATTTATTTTAACTGATCTGAGATGGTGAGAAATGTACAATCAGCTTCTAGAGACATAATTCAACACATCCCATTATTTTTTTTTTTTTTTAAATGTGGATATCAGTAAGTAATAACTTCTAAAAGCACAGAATCTAATGGAATGCTTTGAATTTTTGAAGATGCTCAGTCATTCAGTATTGAAGCTTCAGACACAAAAAGATGAGTAAGAATATCCAATGTATAAACAGCATGTTTTTCATTTGCATCAGTTGCAAAAGGAGTGCAGAAACTAGGAGATGATATTTGAATTCTTACACAATTAATTTGTCCTTAAAAAGTTTTGGGGCCGGGGGCATGGCCTGACAGCTCAACAGAACGGTCGCATGAGCTGTTAGCTCCTCCATACATCGACCCTCCACAGCAATTTAAATAGCATTCCTTGCCTAAAACCGCCTGCAATCACCCACAACAGGCATATCATGAAGCATGGCATCGAAATCCGCCAAAAAAGTGAAACAAAAGCAGACACTACTACAAATAAAGGTGATCTCACCACCGCGCCTGCAGGCCCAAGATGGCGCCAACATGCCGAGATCACTAACGGCCTACTCAGACGCCAGCGACCTTACGTTGGTCTCCGAAGCGGCGGCTGCCCCTGCAATGGACCTTTCAGTCCACAAAATGCTAAAGGCCATGCAGACCTCCTTGCAGGCCAACCTAACTAAAATAACGAGAGACATAAGGGCTGACATCCAAGCGCTGGGTGACAGAACATCACATCTAGAATACAAGACAGAAGAAATCATATCCGCTCACAACACACTAGGGGACGCCTAAACTGAAATCCAAGAACAACTAAGTCGCTTGACAGACAAAGTCCCGGACCACGAGGACAGAGACAGGTGTAGCAACATTCGCCTCTGCGGCATACCAGAGGAGGTACTGCCTCAAGATCTCCAGGCCTATGCGGCCTGCCTCTTCCAGCATTTAGTCCCAGACCTCTCACAACAGGACTTCCTCATTGACCGCATACATCGGCTTCCCAAGCCAAGGTCTCTACCAACGGCACTACCTAGAGACACAATCGCTAAACTGCACTACTATACAACTAAAGATAAAATTATGAGAGCATCAAGACACATGCACGACCTACCAGATAAATTTGCAGGAGTCAAACTCTTCCCTGACCTCTCTGCAGCTACACTACTGAAGAGGAAAGAGCTTGCCACCATCACAAAAGCCTTGCGTGATGCCAACATACTCTACAGATGGGGGTTCCCCGTCCGGTTGATCATCAGACGCAATGGCGCAGACCGGCACATTACCTCCGAAGAAGAGGGCAAAAGAATCTTGGCAGAATGGGACATTGCTGTACCACCTCAACCTAACCGGGACACTCAAGGAGAAAAACGACGACAGCCACAGAAAGTCCCGAACGACTGGAATGTGGCAACCTCAGATAAGTGACATTTTCATTAACTCTCATAATGTTTAATAACTGTATGTATCTGTCTACACTAAGTTTGGGGTGCCTAAGGGGACCACCATAGAGCCTTGCCATGGTGCCGGTGCCTTGGCGGTGATGCATCCACCATCGAGGTCTGAAATGACCCGACTTTATTATGTACACTTTAATGGGTAAACTTACTACCTTAACCAAGAGAGACTATTAAGGTCAATATCGAATGCAGCCATCACACAAACAAAACTGACCACCTAAGCCTGGCCACACCTCCGGGTCCCAGATTTGACCCAGTGGCGCGCAGACTGTGGAGCAATGATAACAGACCAAGTAGTGCTAGAATCCCTCCATGCACTCAAAGGTCTTACACAGTGCTATTCGCACATCGAAGCCCACAAAAAGCTGATCTATAGGTGGTACCTGACTCCCCACAGGCTCCATACAATGTACAAAACGGTTTCACCCTACTGTTGGAGATGTGGCGCGGAAATAGGCACGATGATACACATATGGTGTGTATGCCCACGCATAAAACCCCTATGGGAAGCGGCACAAACCATGTTAACATCCGCTGGCATCACTATGCCAACTATAGATATACACACGGGGATATTCCTCTACCACCCACATCCCACCCCAAAGCAGGTGAAGCGACAAATTGCTCTCACCGTCCTAGCAGCAAGAAATCTTATCGCAGTCCAATGGAAACAGCCCCATTGCCCGTCCAAACATCAACTCTTATCTAAAATTCACCAGTACTACACCTACGAAAAAATGTCAGCAAAAACTGCCCTACAAAAAAAATACTTTCAAACATCCTGGGCACCATGGGCAGTCATTTGGGTGAACCAAACAGATAGTTCAGAAAATATTGCACCACTGGAAATACGCAAAAAACCTACAACACCGCTACCAACACGGAGCACACAAAGTTGAGTAAAGGTCTACCTACACTCCAATGGGAAACCAAACTTAGCTAATGGGAAAACTCGAGACGTACACACACCTGGCCAGAATAAACGATGAGCTTCACTGTAATATCTTGTTGTATACCACACCATCATGCCATGTAATACTGGACCAGTGCATATCTCCCTTACCCCACTCCCCCTTTTCTTCTTTCTGTAATCCCTCCCCCTCCAACATTGTTTATTACTAGTTGGAAATGTTACACCTCAACTTGGAATGGAATCCATCCAAGGAAATATGATGGTTCAAGGTACAACCCTACTTAAACTAAGCACAGCAATTATCAGAATGCAGGGATCAATCGATCGAGCATAGATGATTCAGTCCCAAGCTCAACACAATGTTAATCCAGGAATTACATGTTGTTCATTTTTGTTACCTATCTCAAACCCCCTTCATTAATGCGATCCAAGAAGTAATTGGCTCAGTTCATTGTTTGTAGATGTTGACTATACTGGTTGTAAGAACTATAACCTCCCCACGTTTCCCTTTCTATTTCTGTACCCTATTTCACTTATGAAAATAAAAATTGTCAAATTTTAAAAAAAGTTTTGAAAAAAGTTTCACTTTTATAGGCATTTTGTTGGCCTTTTTCTTATGGATCATAGCTCCCTCTTGAGCCCTGCTGGATCTACGTCCTAAGAAACAAAGACTTCTTACTAGCTTAAATTAATCTTCTGGGCACCTTAACATGTTCATTTGAAATAAGTTGTTATGGTGAGTGGAGCTCTGTGGTGAAGTTTTAGCTTTAAGTGTTAAACCATTTTCAAATGACTTAACACTAAAGATGTGTCCCTAAGTGTGAATCTCTATGTGGAAGTAGTGAGGGAGTAGCAGTGATAGGCTGAGTGTTAGATGATCTTCTAAGCCTATTGCTGGACACCCTTTGAGTAAATGCTAGAAATGTACATATTTGCTCACAATAGAAAGCCAGTGGCATTCTAAGAGTGTCATCGGAAAAATAACACTGAGCCAGGAGACTCTCGGCACCATAACAGCTTCATTCAGATGGAGTTGTTATGGTTCCTGGAGTATTTATTTGAACATAACCTTTAAAGTCTCCTGCATCATGATACAATGATGCAATGTACTCAGGGATAGATTTAGAGCCCATTGGGTCTGGTTTTGACAATTATGATGGGCCTAATTACAGAATCTTATCGATCAAAAACACTAAAACAGTTATACCTCCCAAGGATCATGTGTCAAGCAGAGGTAGTGCTGGAAGGAAATTCACAGGTTATAGCTATCAGAAAATACATACCCTATGCTAATCTCTCACTTTCATCTTTCAAGTAAATCCATGGTCCATAACAGCAGTTTCCAGTGAAGCAGGAAGTCAATGGGTGGGGTAAAAGGGTGGGCCACTGATGCAAAGCACGTAACCAGAACTGCCAAAGGAGCGAACATGCTCAAAAAAGGGACATGTCTGTCCAACGAATTGGAAGGCCACCCTGGTATGAATGCATGTTAGGCTGCCTGCCAATCATGCAGGATGACCAACCAATGGCATACCATGCAGACAGCACCCTGAGCTTGGCATAAATGCGTCTAATGATGTGCTCCCTCTACGTTTTCTAAGGAATGCCCCCTAGCACTCACATGTCCACTTGTCTTCTTACCAGCAGGTAAAAGCTCCTGGTATAGTCTGGGACAAAGAAAGGTGTATGTTGTGTGTGTAGAAGAAAGGGGACATGCCACAGTGTTAGAGACCAAAGTCAGCTTTACCTGAACTAATTTCATTGTCAGCCAGTACACACAAGTTTTGTTACCATACATCCCTCTTGAGTTTCCATACTTAAGCTAAAATATGTGGAGTAGTGTGTAAAAAAAAATCAATTTAAAAAAATCAATGTGCCTATTCTATGGTCATGAGCTTGGAGCTGCAGCTCCATCAGCCCCTATGTTAATCCAGCCCTGAATTTACTCTTGTTGTTATTGGAGATGGAATTGTACCTAAAAGAGGTACAATTTAAGGACTGGATCATAAGATAACAATATTACAATTCATATTTCTTATGACATCCCTTTCAAAACATAATTTACAGGGGGGGCGTGGCCAACTGCCGAACGGAGCGGTCGCATGGAGTAAATTCTCCGTGAACCACCGTGCCGAAAGCTAACAAAAAGCTGTCTGGAGAGCGCAAAAAAACCTCCCCCGGGAGCAGACACCGTTGGAGATCCACATGGCACCATCAAAACAAACAAAAATCATAGACCCGGTGCGGCAAACCGGGAAAAGCCACGTGCGGCAAATCCAAGATGGCGGCGGGTCCGAGCCACACTCACCCGGATCTGAGGGATTCACTGACCTGGAAGACTGCTCCCTCTCACAAGCAGATGCCCCAGTGACAAATAAGAGCCTACACACCATGATGCAGGATCTTAAAGGATCCCTCAGAGCAGACCTACGCCAAATCGCTGCAAAGCTGCGCAATGATATGCAGGAGTTGGGGGGACGCACAAATCAACTGGAGGCTAAGACAGATAAACTCTGCATAGCGCACAATGATATTGTGGATAAACTACAAAAGGTAGAAGAAGAACAGTCCACTATGCGCCTAAAAATCACCGACATGGAGAACAGAGAAAGGCGGAACAACCTACACTTCAGAGGTATAGGAGACACCATTACCCAAGAGGCCCTGCCGCAGTACCTGAGGGCCAAGTGCAAAGCTCTAGTTCCCCACCTGGAGGATGAGGCCTGGATGCTAAAAAGGGTACACCGCCTCCCTCGGCCCACCAGGTTCACCGCAGACACACCCAAGGATACTATTGCCCGTTTCCACTACTACGGCTCCAAAGAGGAGCTTCTCAAAGCGACAAGGACAACCGCAATGCTACAAGAGCCCTATCAGACGATAAGTATCGATGCTGACCTCTCTGCTGCCACCATGGCACACAGGAGAAAATTTGTCGATGTCACCAAAACATACCCTACAGATAGGACTACCCGACAAAACTGCTTATCTGGTACAGGGGAAAATCGGTGGCAGTCCTGGAGCCTGAGGTGGGACTGGCTAAACTTGGGGCCTACACCATGCAATGGAACAATCCTCTCTGCAACAGCCTCCCCCGAAAAAGCTGAGACCAGAATGGACACTAGCAGGCTCCCCAACGAAACCGAACGCCAAAGCCGCTGAATGATCCGCAACCTGGGTCACTCCAAGTCTTCATAGAACACTTGAGTATCACAAATAGTTTATTCATGTTTTCTTGTTAACCGTTAATACCCTGAATAATGTATGTCCAAGCCATATGTCTTCAATGACTTACTAACTGATAGTGGTGATATCTTAGGCTTAGGGGAATATTGGGTCTGAGGCAGTGGGGGGACATTTGAGACCAACAGGGGGTGAACATCCAAGGCCTGGCAAACATAGTCTACGGTCGTGCAGGCCGCAAACTTGGGTGACAGGCCCCAATGCCCTCATAAGACTGGTTAAACCCGGTGACTGTAGGTATGTCAGAATACCAAGATATATAGCATACAGAATGAGATGATTAAATATATTATTGGTATAAGATAGCTGACATGAGGGCTCACATCCAGACCTCATGAGCTGGTTATCTTTAGCACGTACTGATAGGTCACCTCCTAAGCCATGGGGAATACGGAACCGGATACCAAGTAGAATAGTCTGACTTGGCCCATGATCGCCAGGGCTACCTGACATCAACCACTTTAATGCAATTCAGCAAGGGGATACGGTATTATTCCTAATATTTGTAAGATTCATGTTTGGATCTCTGTTTATAGAGTTAAACATCATTCACATTTAAAGTCTAGACAACCCAAATGGACACTAAAGGCTGCATAACGGTGGGACAACCGCCACCCCTCCTTGACCGTATCATGTGTAGTGTATCTCGACATTCACGACCCGGTCCCTTTCTTTGCGACAAACGCAAAGGAGTTTTGTATATATCTTATTATTTGTGTAGTTTATTATGGTTTGTTTTAAATTTTGTATTAAATCTTTCTGAGAACCGAAAAACAAGCAGGAGTAACAAACTTAAGTACATGACGAAATATAGCAGACAACACAGGCAGGTGCCGTTCAGTCACGAACAGACCCGCCCCACTTATGTTTACGGACAGAGGGCACAAAGACCTAAGGAGAGAAAAGTATCAGCATAAATTTACAACAATCACATAAGGTGATTTATAATACCCACAATGATGTCCTCATTTAAAGTTTTCTCCCTTAATGTAAATGGCCTCAATAGTCCCCACAAAAGACACGTAGCAGTCCAAGAAATGTCAAAATCCAAAGCAGCTATAGTGTGTCTGCAAGAAACACACCTATGCTCACGTAAGCCACCCCAACTCTACACGAAAAAATATCCCCAAGCATTCCACGCCTACTCCCCGAGTACATCTAAAGGTGTCTCCATCTTATTCCACACGGATTGGGTCTTCCAGGAAATTAAGCAATGCACAGATACATTGGGAAGACTGCTGGTTTTGGTGGGAACCCTGAACGGCTTTCTAGTTACCGTGGTGACTCTCTACACCCCTAATGATAACCAAATCACCTTTATTCGCAAAGCTCTGAAAAAAGTTGCCTCTCTGAAACAGGGACATGTCATTATCTGTGGCGACTTTAACTGCGCACTGAATCCCGAGTTAGATGTAAAAAGAGAACAGAATAAACACCCCACAGCACAAACAAGTACCAAGGGAACTCTTTTATCCAACTTAATCTTTGAACATAACTTGTTTGACATATGGCGCGCCACATATCCCAAAGACAAAAATGATACAAACTTCTCCCCCGTCCATATGACTTACTCACGTATAGACCTCTGCATAGTAGATGCCACGACCTCACCAAATGTAACAGAGTTGTCCATAGGGATGAGGACCTGGTCAGACCACGCACCAGTGATGGTCACGTTCGCAACACTATACCTAGCTAGGGGAAGGGGAAAGTGGAGGCTTAACGAAGGGCTGTTGGACAGAGCCCGGGTGCTGGCCGCAGTGACTAGGGAGGCCTCTGAGTACTTTAAAGGAAACACCTCAGATGATATCTCTATCAGAACGGTTTGGGTAGCACACAAGGCAGTGATAAGAAGGGTGATAATCAGGGAGGGTTCAAAACATAAGAAAATCCAAGTGGATGCACACAACACACTTATGTAGGAATACACAGAGTTGGAGGCACAGAATAAATCAAAACCGTCCAAAACACTCACCAAACGTATAGGGGAACTGCAGAGCAAGCTACATTCCCTCTCCCTAACCACGACTGAACGGTGGATGAGGTCCCTGAAATTGACATATTACACTCAGGGGAACAAGGCAGGCAGACTACTAGCAAATAAGATTAAGACTAAGCAACTCCAATCTAAAATTCCCTTCATCAACTCACCCTATAAAGGTAAATTATGTAACCCAGTGGACATTGTCAATGAATTAGCGCAGTATTACCACAACCTTTACAACCTAAAAGACGACCAGAAATCTCCCCACCCGTCCCTAAACGACATACACGCTTTTCTAGGGAGCACGATGCAACCCCACCTTGACCAACACCAGAGCATGTCGCTTGAATCCCCATTTACAGAAGACGAAGTTAAATGTACAATACACTCTTTGCCAAAACACATATTAGAGCCAACCCTGACCCCTTTCCTCACTATGCTTTACAATGACATTAAAACCTCGGGCTCTATGCCTGAAGAGATGTTGGAGGTGCACGTGGTAACACTTCCCAAGCCAGGCAAACCACCCACTGTCAGCAAAAACCTCAGGTCCATATACCTATTAAATGCAGACACAAAACTCTACGCAAAATTGTGAGCATCAAGGATCATACCCTTTCTAACGGGTTTGGTGTCGGAGGAACAAGCAGGCTTTGTACCGGGCAGGCAGGCAGGTGACAACACCAGACAATTTATAAATTTAATCAACTGGGCTAGGATTAGCAAACAGGCAGGGTCCGTTCTGGCGCTCAACGCTGAAAAAGCATTCGACCACCTGAACTGGGACTATATGAAGCTAACGATCACAAAAATTGGTTTCTCAGCCTCCACCTTCGGGGGAATTATGGCCCTCTTCCAAGCTCCATTGGCAAAAGTCTTCAACTCTGGATTTTTATCCAAGCAGTTTGATATAAGTAATGGCACTCGCCAGGGATGCCCACTTTCGCCTCTCTTGTTTTTGCTAAGTCTTGAACCAGTCATCCACCACATAAAGACCCACCCAGGTATTAGGGGTCTAGACACTCCGGCCGGGGTCCAAAAAAATTGCACTATTTGCGGACGATGTCCTGCTCTACCTGTCTCACCCACACACCTCCGTTCCAAATCTGATGGAACTCCTGTCACAATATGGGGGGGTCTCATACTACAAAAATAACCTCACAAAAACCCAGGCATTACCCATCGGCATCCCTCCCATGCAGTACAATCCTTAAAAGACTCTCATCCCTTTGATTGGAGGTCAACCTCCCTTAAATATCTTGGCATTAAGCTGGCACACAACTGATGCAGGAGAACCACAGGCCTTTAATCCACAAACTACAGACCCAATTAGATGCATGGCAAGGTCTGGAGGTGTCATGGCTAGGAAGGATACACACCATGAAGATGATGGCGCTACCACACGTATTATACCTTTTTTGAACTATACCTATAGAGCTAGCAGACAAAACCCTGAAGAGGTTTCAATCTATCTTTAACGCATATATTTGGAAAAAAAAACCTCCAAGGATAGCTAGACGCCTAACCTGGCAAACACCATTAAAAAGAGGCTTGGGTATTCCTGACGTGAAGTCCTATTATAAAGCAGCGATATTAGCACAGGAACTGAGGGTCCTGTCAAATGCCAAGCCTCCGATTTGGCTGCACCTAGAGGATGCATGCTTACACCCAAGCAAACTACCGTGTTTCCCCGAAAATACACCCTACCCCGAAAATAAGCCCTAGCCGGATTATCGGGGTGGGCTGCAATATAAGCCCTACCCCGAAAATAAGACCTAGGCATTGCACCTTTGCGGCCCGGCGAGACTTCCTTCTTCTACCGTATGAGGAGGAGGGGGAGGAGCGTTGCGGGCCGCGGCATCGCGCAACGTGATGACGACCTTTCGCAGCGCCGTCAGTCTGCCTTCACGGATCTTCAGCGGAAGGATCCATTTCCGGGCGGTGAGGCACCCAGTGGTCGGACTCGGCGGGCAAGGAATCTTTGAAATGTGAGTAGATATTTTATGTCTGGGACTGAATTAATTAAAGGGGGGGGTGTGAATTAATTAAAGGGGGGGTGAATTAATTAAAGGGTGGGCTGGATTAATTAAAGGGGGGTGGATTAATTAGAGGGGGATGGATTAATTAGAGGGGGGTGGATTAATTAAAGGGGGGTGGATTAATTAAAGGGGGCTGGATTTATTAAAGAGGGGGGTGGATTAATTAAAGGGGGTGGAGAAAAGTTGTTTAAATGTTGTTCAATGTACATACCGGTACCGTAAATAAATAAGCCCTACCCTGAAAATAAGCTCTAGTGTGTTTTTTGTGACTAAAATTAATATAAGACCCAGTCTTATTTTCGGAGAAACACGGTAGAACACATACTGAAGTCATATATAAAATGGGATACTAAAAAGCACAGACCTCTGCCGAATACGCGTTTCTTGATGCGCTGCTGGCTGAGATGGGCCCGCACACTCACGGGAATGGACAATCTCATATTTTTTGCTCCCACAAATATCCTTTTGGCACTATCGCATGACATACCCATAACACCCTGGATACAAAGAGGAGTTAAATCTATACACCACCTATTCACATCACAAGGCCTTAAGCCCTTCCCAGAACTACAAAAAGAATTTGCTCTACCAGCAATAGACATCTTTACCTACATTAGACTAAAACATATAACACATTCACACAACGTACATCACTACAAGGAGTCCCAACTCACTCTCTTTGGACAACACTGTATAGGCAAGAGTACAAAAACTAAACCACTCTCCCTGTGCTATACTGCCATAAACGACGTAGAGCCAATGGCCAAACACACATACATGGAACAGTGGGAGAAGGAACTTGATACTTCTATCCCCACTCCACTCTGGCTTCAAGCCATCCAAACCACTAGGGTATCCTCAAATAGTTTGCCCCATTGGGAAGCATATTGCAAACTCCTAATGAGGTGGTACTTGGTCCCAACTCGGCTGGCACACATGTACCATAGTGTTTCCCCAAGTGATGGCGGTGCGGCCTACACCCAGGTTCCCTCAAACACATCTTTTGGGAATGCCCCATATTGGGATCATATTGGCAACAAATAGGGGAGGCCCTTGCACGGATTATGCCGATACCAATTCCATTTACGCCAGAATGCTACCTCCTTCACCTCTCCCCAACTATCCTCTCTACACCACAAAAGGTAGTTGCCATACATATACTAACGGCAGCAAAAACCAGCATAGCGAGCCACTGGAAAGGAACTAATGCACCCTCATTCGCTGACGTGTGGAACAGAGTAGATTCCATATGCGAATATGAACTTATGACTTACAGGCTCAGAGGCAAAGAGGACGTGCGCGCACTAAAGTGGGCTGGTTGGACTGATAACAGATTGACCTTAAAACCCCCACAGTCCATAGACCACAGCACGATAGACATGAAACTCAGAACAACATAGCCCTCCCACAACAAATGTGACCAAACATACCCTGCTCACAACACACTCTCAGATGACACCTGCCTATCTGTGTACACATCGTGTACACATCAGGTACTAACGCGCAAAGTTCGATTTATGTTGTCTTTGCTTTTTATTTTTATTTTTTTTCACCACCTCTAGTTACATTTAACTATTAATTAGATTCAAATGCACAGTTTCTGTAGGCGGGAGAAGCGGAGGGTGGACATCCCAAAGCAACGCATGAATGAGCTCTCGGCTGACCACTCATAGGGAGGAACAGTCACGAGACCTTCTCCCAACCGACATAAGCTACCCAGACACAGCTAGGCTGCAACGTGATCAGAGAGCAGACTGAACCTGGTAGACAAAAGCAATACACCAAGCGTGAGCAACGTACAAAAGCCAATATACGAACTATAAGGTAGAAACACCATAAGTACCAGGATACAGAGATAGCCCGAGTCCATTACAAAACGACAAGGACTAACAAAGGAAATAAGTATGTTGTAATACAATATAAAAACGGCACTATGCAATAGCCGGAAAGGTATTTACACCAGGATCTTTGATGACACACCTCAACACCTGAAAGTGCTACAGACACCGTCAGTAATGACCATATGCATATTGATCTATATAGCATGATGATTGGGCAAGTCCTTGATCTGAAATGTTGAAGATGTAGCATACTATGCAACAATGTGTAAACGGTGTATTGTGCAAAGCAATGTATAAGTTACTTTTTCCCCTTTCCCCTCTTTTCTTTCTGTATCCCAATTGCGTATCACGTATACGCAAAAATTCTCAATAAAAAACAGATATTGGAAAAAAAAAAAAAATTTACATACAATTTTCTCAGTATGGTTCAATCTCCTATATTGTACAATAGAGAGATCATCATAAACATATGGCTACAGTATAGACACAATGATGAAACTTATGGATTAGCAGAGAATATGCTTATCATCACCTGAAAAGATTTAATTTATAGCAAGCAAGCAGAAAACATTGAAATATTTTTACAAACGTGAAATGAATAAATATTAAAACCAAATTTGGATATGTATATAATGTTTTATGTACTTTTGAACTAAAACCTATAAACAAAATTTAAGGAAATTGTGTTTAATGCAAAGAGTGAATTAAAATGTATTTACCTGAAACTAATAAAAAAATACAATGTTTTAATGATGAGCTAGTGACCAACAGACAATACAACATTGTGCACGATTTCACAGATTATAATTCATATGTATGAATCTTTAAAACCTCAGTTAAAAATTAATATTTTGGAGAACAACTAATTATTCTCAGATGCATAAATATTCATAAGCCTTGCTAGTTGACCTGCAAATTTAACTCAGGTGAAAATAAATTACTTGCAAAGTTTTAAAAGTAGTAATTTGTTCACTCTGTCCTTAATCAAATTTCTGCATTGTCTTAATATTCTCAGATATACAAAGACATCTCTCTGAGATAACTCTGTCACACAGTAGCAATGAGTTACTTAACTCTTCCTCTGTGTTTTTCCAGACAGCTATAATTTACAGAAAAGGAAACAACAAATAGATACTATAGAATATATAAAATAAAATGAAGTAAAATACAACAAAATTAAGGAATAAAATAAAGTACAGAAATTCTTATAATTGAGTTATTTTACAGTGTATTCCATTCTTATTAGGTGCATATGTGGATAGAAGAGAAAGACAGAGGAATACTGATAGTGTACATTTACCTGGTTAATGATAGACAACAAAGTGCTTAAATGCCCACTTTATGGAGCATATGAGCAAGCCCCAGTAATATCAGCATGTAGCAGTAATATTCTCACTATTGGATATAGGTGTAGGGATAATCATATTAATATTTATTAGAATGCTATTAACTATGTGTGAGTGTGGTGTGGTTTAATATGTATGTATGTGTGTGTCGGTTATGTATAGTCGTGCGTGTCTTGTTATTTTAGCATAATGGCATACAAAGGGCACACATTAACATGAATTACCTGCATGTGTGGTGGAGTGTTGTACGTAGTTAATTGTCCTGGCTGGGCCTAAATACATTACTGATCTGGGCATATATAAAACAATACATGATTACTTGTTTAAGTATGGACGGTAGGGTAAGCACTTACCTTAGTCTTACCCTAGACCAAACCCTAATCCTAGCCCTAACTATACCATCTGGAAAAAAAAAAACTAAATACACATAAAAATAATGTAATTTTATGTACAGCAACTCCCATTTAATGAGTAGATTTAGTGCCACGCTCACTAAAAGACTCTGGAGAGATCCACCTCCTCGTGAACAATGGATCCTTCAATATCCAGCAACTACATATACTGCAAAAATCCACAGATTGCCAGCTCAGTAAATAAAACTTTAATTTAATGTCTGCTAAAAACATCAAGCAGTAGAGAAGCAAATTAACAGCCTATGCTACTAACATATGGTAAAGTACTGTACTGTCCCGTAATAGTTCTTGTTAGTAGGAAGTTGAATCTTGTGTTTGCATTGCTCTCTCATATCAGCTCCGGATGTCTTCCTTACCTTCTCATGGTAATGGTTGTTTTCTATAAGGATTATGCAATGTGCCTCCACAACTCTGCTGTTCATGACACCTACCAATTGTGTTCATGGATGACAACAATATTTACCCTCTTTAGCTTCATCATCACATGGATTGAATGCCTGATAGGCTGATCTTTTAGTAACATTGCTGGAGGGATATGGTTTTTCCCATTTGTAACAGTGATCTGAGCAAATCTCAAGTGTTCTGATGGACTTGAGAGATCACCTCAACTTTTATTGTATTTGTTTTGTTTTTTTTTCATTTTGGGACATCGGAAAAATCTGACAACCTAACAGGGATTTGATTACAGTTAACCGGACACTATAGGCATCCAGAGCAATTTATCTCATATGTAGTTTTAACCCTGCAACTTCAAACATTGGTGTTCTGCAGCAATGGCAGTCTTTACAGCACAGGGTTAAAATGCCTCTAGTGGCTTTCTAACTGACAGCCACTAGAGGCACTTCTTCCAGAATAGCCTCCTAATGCTTTCCTATGGAAGGTAGATAGTGCACTGTGGTAAGGAAACAAAGGTGAGTAAATGACTTTTTTCTGCAGTCAGAGGACGATAAGCTAAACTGCTATAGTATACTATAAGAATATGTACAAAGGATCAGCGCTAATATACTAGATCTTACAGAGATAAATGTAAGGCAGCACACCTGAAAATAGGGCTCCCTCACAGGCCCTATAGAGTAGACACAACTAAAAAAGGTGAAAGGGTAGGGCACGCCACAGGTAAAATAAAATATAAATAAATAAACCTGATTATAAACTATACAAGCACATATACAAGACACTATATAAGAGAAAATACATACAAGATAAAATATTTCAAGCTCTTTTTGTTTTTTTATCTTGTATGTATTTTCTCTTATATAGGGTCTTGTATATGTGCTTGTACAGTTTATAATCAGGTTTATTTATTTATTTATATTTTATTTCACCTGTGGTGCCACCTCCCCTTTCACCTTTTATAGTATACTATAGCATTAGGAATACAAATTAGTATTCCTAACACTAGGGGCCCCTGTTCAGCGATGCCCATTGCTTAGCCCTAAATCATGGGCCACCCAATGG